TTTGTGAAAAGCAGCTGCTCACAAACAAACAGGAAGAAATAGTTTGTTGGGGACTATTTTCAGTGGCGGATGAATCCACATTGGTGTTTGTGGTGGCCGGACGGTGTGTGTGTGTTCATACTGATGAAGGACTGTGGATGGAAACGTGTGCTGACCTGAAGCCGACACATACTCTATGATTATTTAGTTGTTTCTGTATTTAAAGGTCAGGATGCAACAGGAGAGAAGAGAGCAGGTGAAAGGGCTGTGGTTCACTCTGAGACATCAAATCAGATTTATTTATAGTGCACATTTAAAACAGCCACGTGTCAGATTTATCTTAAAGTGTCAGGAGAGACACGTCGCTGAAGGCGATGGCTGTTCATAGCTTTGGTGCACAATGTGCGAGCCTCAATGGAGGAGCTGCAACAAGGCAGGGCAGGCTGTTACAGCCCCTGTTCATACACAAAGGCAGTTCACGGTGCTTAACACAGCGCACAGACAGATACAACACTGACATGCTAATTAGGCTACAACATTAAATGCCAGTTCAAAGCAGAATGACAACATAAAGTAGCAGCAGGCGAGTGTGGAGACCCAGTCCTTTTAGGAAAGCTGTGGCAGACTGCGGATCAAAACCACGAGGGCAGAAAAGTTCAGGCGTGTCCTGAGGTGCTGATCCATGTAAACTCGGTGACAGAACCGTGAACTCGATAGCTGCATTTCCACCAGGAGGTACCTGCTACTGCTCTTACGAACTAAAGTCCAGGAACTGTCCCCGGGCTCAAAGACCCTCGAGCGCACTGCAGGGCCGAAGCCCAGGCAAGAGGGGCGGCTTTTTAAAAACTTGCCAAGGTTTTATTGCACGTTCAGTAACGAGCACAGAGTTTGTTTACTCCAAGTAACATTGCACCTCATGCTTTCTTCCACGGCCTCCGCCTGCTGCGCTGCGTGTCTGGTGCAGCTGGGCCTCAGGTCGAGCACCAGGAGAAGTCTTCCTACAAACACCAAGCCCACATGTTCAAATCCACGAATGTCACTGGCTGGTTTCTGTGTGTACAGTAGGCCTGCTGACAAGATGCTCCTTACAGGCCGAGAGCCCAGGGAACTCGGGTCAGATGCATCAGTGTGTCCAAATCATTTCTCACACTGGCGCACTTTGATTTCTACCCACATATATGAGTGAAATGCTTGCATGTACGACCCCCCAACTAGGAGCTACAGTTTATCCTGGATCTACATTTAGGCGCCGGATCCTCTGGTGGAAACACAGAAAGGTTCCTGCTCCTTGGGGTGAGTTCCTGAGACGGGGCTTATGTGACTTGGTTCTACGGGTGGAACAGCGTCTCTGGTCCAAGGTCTGTACCAACTGCAAGCGAAGCAGAGAAGCGTGGCTAACACCCAAGCACAGTGGGTTACAGTAGTCCTTTACAGTGGTGGTGCCACAGGAAGAAGTTAAGTTTACCGATATTTGATGGTGGTTGAAAAACTTCAAGTCAGCTTCCCAGTTGCAGGTTTTATTTACAGATTCCGTTGATATAAACCATGTAGAATGTGTCTGTTGGCCAAAGGAGAGAGGACCCTTCTGGTCCTATGTGACAGCTCTCAAACCTGACTGGACTGTTGCATAAACTCTTCTCAGGCACCTGTGGGACCAAACTTGTTTTGTCTTTCCAACATATAGATCACATCTGTGCCCAGCTCGGCCTCTCACAGCATTATCTAGACATCAGCTAACACAAGACTCCAGCCACGAGACCTGAGACAGAACATTATAGCCGGGATGTGTCTACAAATGTCCAGGTGAAACATGACCAATGGTGGGTCTGACAGACACCTGAGGTTTTCTGCTCATCTCCAAAACTGGTGCGTGTCTGTGGTTTTTCTGTAAAGGCGACACTCTGGAGCTTGGTGCTGCGTGTTTTTCTTAGCCCTAGTCCTACCACTGCTCGGTCAGAGCCCCCAGATCCCCACGGCTGAAGACAACATAAAAATATCAGGCCATGTTTAGTCTTCATTCCTCGACTTGGCCGTGGTTCTTTGTGCTGCGCGGTGTTCAGCTGTTTCCTGTTTGAATCTTTTATGTGTGTGCGTTGCAGCGACGAGCTGCACACTGATGTCTAATGGTTTCGGCCACGTGCTGCTCTTTAACACTCTGTGTATGTGTCTGCAGCACAAACACGGCTCCTCCTCTCGTTGCTGACAACACCTGGTCTCCTCTGTGCTCGTTTGACCTTTCACCGGTCCTGCTTTCACAAACAGGTCTCCTTGTTGCTGTTAGTTGTTACCGTGATATGGTGGAAACTGCTTTGAACAAAGTCCAAAGTACCGACGACTCCACACTGGAAGAAACTACAGCAACACTACTCTAGAGAGAAATGTTGATTGTACCTTACCTACCCTGAAGTTACTCAGAAAGGTGGTTCAAACTACTTAGTAAAAAATAATGAAACTGACAATGTGCATGTGACACAAAGCTATAATATATAAAAACTAGAGAAGCAATGGAAAAATAAAAATAAAAACTCATTCCTTTCCTTCTATGGGCCAAAATGATTTGGGGTTGAAGTAGCTGAGTACACAGACAATGGCAAAAATGTCATTCAACTGCTTCAGTCACATGCACAGCTACGAATGTAGTTGAACTGCTAAATGTCGTTAATCTACCGTTTAATCCCACGTACTTCACTACTGCCCAACACTGGATTTACGTCCGGTATGAAGGTCTGGTCCCATGAACATCACGTTCCCTTCATAACATTTAAATGGAAACTAGTTCTCAGGTGTTTCCTGGTTCCGACTGACGACAGGACGTTTTCACAGACACTAGAACCAGCATTAAATAACGTTGCATCTATTTACTTCAGCGTCTTCATTTCATAATCACAAACAGATGAATGTAGGAAGAAACCCAACAATGGTGCAGATCCCATTAGAGGAGAGCGTCTGCCAGGTTGGCTTGGAGCGTTTAACTGACTGATGGTGAAATGAATAAGACATGAACAGAGTTTGCTGCGCGGCCTGGATGGAGAACACTCGGCCGACCTCAGCACAGGCTGCAGCAGCTACCTGTGCAGTCAGTGCTGGCTTTACCTCATCGCTCTTGTTGAGGCTTTAGTGATTTTCATATTTAAACCACCAACGGCTTCAATGAAGAACTCAAACATTTTAATAATCACCACAGTGTTCGTCCTGGTTCCTGACGAGGAGTCTTTCCTCAGAAGTCCGACAGGAAATTCACTGAGCTCTCACACAGTAATAACCATAAACCAGCAGCCGTCTCATTACCGGAAGCTTCCGGGGCTGAAGCCGCAGCGGCTGAGGCGGGGAGACGCTGATCCCAGAGCTGTGCTCTAAATATCTAATGTCTGCTCAGAAACACATGGTGTCAGCAGGGAATTCCACAGATGGCACGGACACACGGACCTTTGGAAGCCTGCAGATGGACGGGGGAGCTGAGACCAAGCCCGCTGCCGTCACGGCCTCCTCTAACACGAACAGTTACGACTGATGCAGTAAAATGTTTGTTCATTAGTGATCCCACAGAACGTACGGCTGTGAAAGACGAGAGGAGCTGGACAGAACAAACACACTGGTGATTTGGCCAGAGTCTAAACAGCAAATCTGTACAGGTCAGAAGAATCGGGACTCAAACACGCGACTTGGAGACGCTGACACATTCAGACAGTTCCCCTTCACTACGAGCAGAGCGGGTACTGTACGGGCTGGGCCGCTGCTCTGTTGTTATGTGTGGGTTTCCTTTCCTGTAGCGGGGATGTGCGCCCCTACAGCAGTATGTGGATTTGGTGGCCAGCTCTGCCCAGTGGACTGTACTGACCTTCTGGCTGGATCTGGGTGGACGCCTTTCCTTTGTCTTTCTGTTCTTGTTTCTGACCTTTGACCACTTGTTGTGGTTGCAGGATAAACGTTCCTGCTTCACACTTCGGGACATGTTTGTTTGTCTGATGTTGTATTGTGTTTGTAGGACTTTGGGTGTCGCTGACTCAGTTTGTAGGTATTTGTGTTGTGACCTGTTTTAGTACAGCTCGGGTGTGGCCAGGCTTCTACCTTGTGATCAATCTCGAACGCCATCAGACGTCACCCATCTGATGATGTATCTCAGTCTGGACCCAGGTGTTGAAGCGACAGGCTCGTCATGTCTGAACCGTGCTGATCATAAAACAGAAATCAAATGAAACACAGCAGGTTGATTGAACAGCTCGGGAACGTCACAGGTCCTCGCCTGCAGCTGTGCACCTATGACACGTCTCCCTTGGGAAATGGTCCTAACTCACTGAGACCCACAGCTTGTGTGTGTGTCACTGTGCTGTATCAATGTGGAAGCTTTCCTGTCCAAAGGATGTGACACTGAGCCACACCAGCACCGACTGAGGCTGCGCAGCAGAACGAAACCAGTCAGGTTGAAAGTTAATCCATAATTGATGATACCACACACACTGACTGAGGCGTGTCAGACACAGGAAGGTGTGTCAGTGTGTGCTGAACTTTACCTGAGTGTCCACGTTTGCCTTGTGTTTGTGCAGACGACGGGATGACACGTTGTCTGGGGGCATTAGTTGACTTGTTTGGTCTTTACATACTGAACTATAAAACTGAGGGCCAAAGGTGTGTACTGTGTACTGACATGTACCTGTGGCTCTTGTTAAATGCTGCTCAATCTGTATACGCTGTAAACCCCCTCACCTCTACACCCCGGGTTTTTCAGTATTTAACTAAGGGCACAGTCTTTCTCTGACCTCGACCAGCTCCTGAAGATGACCACATGTTGTTCAGTACGAGCAACAACTGTAGCCGAAACAAATATAACCTCTTGTCGGCCATGTTCAGCAGTCTGCGACGTACCAGGTGCCTTTACTGACAGCATCTCCTTATTAAGCTGATCGTGAGAAAACCAATTTTGTTGCACGTTAGTCATACATGAACATTGTTTAAGAGACTAACAGCTAAAGACAGATAGATGTCAATGCTATTCTGTTAGCTGTGGCAGTACAAGTACCACTGATCACAGTAGAAGTACACCAGGATTCAGCCAGACATATTTGGTATGTTTGGAGAACGTAGGAGCTCCTCTAGAATTTGAAATAAACAGGTTGGGCTTGTACAGACAGACCTAGTGACGGTGAAGGGGTTAAACTTCCTGAATCAGACTGATTCAAACCAAACCTCGGGAAGGAACAGTTTTATTGCTCCCTCTGTGGACTTCAAGCAATAAACCCACAACGGCGACTTTTAATCTGATGAAGAGCAGCTTCATATTATTGTGGCTGCTTTATTGGATGAAGAACGCAAAGGGAGGATCGACGAGCGAGTCTGGCTGTTTTCCCTCAGCAGACCAGAAAACTTTAATAATCTGTAGTTTCACTTCTTCATCTTAAACACATGCATCTCCATGGGGTTGTCAGAAACAGGAAGGAGAGGACTGAGGAAGAACGTGCATCAGTTTCTGTGCTTTCATAACGACTGTTGTTTTCTTACCTGCAGGTTTAGTGAACAGAAATAATTAGTAAAGAGGCTGGAACTTCCTTTTTAGGACTTTTATTTTGATGACACTTGTCCTCTGCCCTCATTCTCCCGGGGCTGACTCCTATGATCACCTCACCTCTCTCAGCTCGTTTCCAGGGCCTCATCACTGGGTTGTAAGCATCGTGTCAACACGTATCTGTGTGACCTGGCCCAGCTTCCGTACCTGTACCTCACCTGCCTTCACCTGTTAGTTTTGTCAGACTACCTGTCTACCTACCTATCTCCAGGCTGTCAAGTTTCTTGTCTTAACTGAGGGATTTCCTCAACCAGTGACAGAGAACTGCTGTTTATCTGACCAGCCATCTGGAGAGTCGTTTGTTTTAGGCAGCGTTAAGTCTCTGTGACAGTCCTGTTGATCGGCCTTTCAGAATCCTCCATCGGCATTTAGTCCAAGTTCCCTCCATGTTGTCAGGTTTCAGTTTGTCTCCATGACGACCAGTGACCTGTCGCTGGGGCAAAACAACAAGTGATAACAGTGCTTTGGGGTAAAACACTTCTGCTTTGGGGTAAAACACTTCATGTGATTATGTAGTGTGAGTGTGTCTGTTTGTGTCGGGGGGTGGGGGGGTTGCCAGTGTTTGTGGTTCTCTCACTTCTTTGCCTTGTGTTTTTCCCTTCATCTCTCTCTACCTCCTGTTTTTATAATGAACTCTGTTCCTTTCTATCCCTTTACCAACTCTCTCTTCTTCTCTTTCCTGTTTTCTTCTTCCCCCTCTTCCTTATTTGTTGCCACTAAAGCTTCATTCCTTCCTCCTCCTTTTCTTTTTCTCCTCTGTGTCCCATCCTTCTTCTTCTTTATACCTTTTTATCTAAATCCTGTTTGCGTCCTTCTTTCTTTTAACAAGCCTGTTTTTATTTCTTTGCTTCTTTTCCTCGCTGTCTTTAGTTTCCCCTCCTTCCCTCATTCTTTCCTTTAAACAAGTCTCTCTCGTCTTTCTTTCCTCTTTGCCTTATTTTTCCTCCCGTCTCCCTAGTTTCTCCTCTGCTCTAATTCTCTCTTTCCTCTCCTTTAGCAGCTTCATTTCTGCTGTTTCCTCCTGGTTCGTCTCTCACTCCGTTTCTTTTCTGTTTGTGTGTTTTCTGGCAGGGCAGCCATACATGGACATGGAGTAAGGACACCGCCTCCTCGCTCTCTAAGAGAAAGCCAGTGTCTCTCCAGCACCACCACTAATGCCTCACCGACATGACCGGGAGGAAGAGAGAGAGAGTAAAACACAGGGACAGATAAAGGAAAATTAGAAAGTGCAGAAGCAGAAAGAGGACGAGAGGAAGAGGGAGGCTGCAGATCCATAATCCCCACAGCAGAGAAACACTTAGAGGGAGGGAGGCAACACAGGCGATTCTGTCTATCTTGCAACTTCAGGGACCATCATCACAATTTAATAAGAATTTGAAAGGCTGCAGCGTTGCAACAAATATGTCTTCATAGGGAGACGGGGTGGGCGAGAGAGCCTGAGTCAGACAGAGAGAGAGAGGAGGTAGAGGCCAGGCACAAGTGTTTCCATGCACTCCTACCTGGATTTGTCTAGTTTTTCTTATTGGTGTACATCCCAGCAGCAATAAGCCTGTAATGGTAATATCAGGGAAGACATTTTTTAATATTTTACATGTGCCCTCCTGCACTGAGGCTGCTGAGAGTTCAAGAAATTGTCTTTTTCTGTCAGGAGAGTCTGTGTTTTGCACCAGAGTGCCTTGTTATTCAGAAGAACCAGAACGACAGCTGCTCATAGGCTGAAAGTTTCTCATCTGCAGTCAGAAAAACATCCCAAAAAAGGAATATTTCAACCGATTTCCGAGGTTCCTGGTTGTAAAATCATCAGTTTTACCCTGAGGAGTGTCTCACAGGCAGGCATTACCCACTCTGCAGAAGGACGCCTGAAACTCATCGGCATAAAGTCGGGCCACTCACCTGTCAGATGCACTGCCTTTCCTGCTCTTCTACTGCTTTGCTTTCATGGCTTGAACCCTGTCACCTGACCCCTCCCTCCACCCCTACTCCCCCTTCCTCTCCCCTCAACATGTCCGACCACCCCCCCTCTCACTGCCCAAACCACTCAAGGAAGTCAGGGCAGGACAAGAAGTGAGCCAGGACTTTCACAAGGCACCCACCTCTGATTCAGTGGTTCCACCCTCCCCTGAGGACAGAACTTGACTCTCTATAGGAGGGACGCTCTGATGCAAGATGGCGGCCGGTGTGGCCACGTGGCTGCCATTTGCACGGGCGGCGGCGGTTGGTTGGCTGCCGCTGGCCAAGAAGACGATGCCCAAACCTCCAGTGGACAGCTCGTCCAGATCAGATGAGATCCTGTACGTCAACGTCAGCGGGGTCAGGTTTCAGGTGCGTGTCTATTGAGCATGCTCCAAAATTTGGTTTAAAAACATGGGTGTGGCTACTAAACTCTAGGAAAGGTCACCAGTTTACCAGTGTTTCCCAATCCTTCCCAGTCCACACCTCCCTCTCTAACTCCTGTGCTCACTGCACAGTCCTGCATCACCGCTGTATGGTTCTGTTCTATGCCAACGTTTATAAAACTGGCTCTTTATGGCCACTGAGCCACCAGTGCTCCCACTGGGAGTCCCAATGACCTTTGTTCGATGTCATCTGCATTTCTCTTAGTCCCCCCACTCAGCCATCACACAAAAGGACAAAATGCTCCCAAACAGTATGAACTGCAAACCAAAGTAGCTCTAAATGTGTTGAATCCATTTCTTTCTTTACAAAACATTTGCAAAGCAGATTTTTGGAGCTACTTTAACGTTAGTTTGTCTTTAACGTCACATACGTCTGTTTGTTGCATTGCTGCATGTTTTTCTTTTCTTCCTGCACTGAAACGAAGTCTTACACAACGTTGTAGGTGCTTCTCCTTTAGTTTGAGGACATGGTCATCGTTCGTAGGTTGAAGTACTGTTACATTTCCATGAATCCCCGTCTCACTTTGAACCCCTCGCTCACTGTACCGGTCGAGCTACAGCGGCAGCTCTGTGCAGTGCAGATACACAGTGTCTGTTGATGGCACTGAGTTGTCATCACTCTGCATGAATTTTGGACTGCTGCATTTTAGTGGCCTACATTTAATTCCAATCTGATTAATTTAGCTGAATACATTTGCTGTGCAGCCGACGTTGTTAAAAGACAATAAGAAAGCAATTTGCTCACGTCCTCAGTTTCATTAGGTGTGAAGCCAGGTTCGGCCTGGCTCGTCACTGGCAATGTTTCATCATCTGTGAGTGACAGTGAAGTGGTTCTGTGGCCACTGTCTCTGCTGTGCACTGCTGCTCGCCATCACTTTCAGGTCAACCCACTCTTTCGTCACCTTGGTCACATTCGGCACATTTAGCACGACCCCACAACCAGTAGTCCTTCATTAAAGCAAGGCTTTGCAACAGGATATTCATGACCATATTTGGCATTTGGGGGTTGTTTCTTTACATAACAGAGCAAGTTTGTGCATATGCACATACTCACCTTTATTGGCCAAGTATGTTACACACAAGGAATTTGTTTCCGGTACATGCACAGCAGGTTCAATAAATACCCACTTTTTTATGTACAGGAAGAATTCAGGCACAGGATTCCTACATTGAAAAGGTTCGACAAAGTGACTTCAGCCTCCGTTAGAGGCCTGAAAAAGAATCTGTGACAGGCTGCTGCTCACAGCGGTGCTCTCTGGGACTCATAGTCTCCTGAAGCTGTTTGTTTTGTATATTCACCCTTCTGATGAATATTAGTGCTTAAAAACACTATCTTCTAACATCTACAAGTGAAATTAAAAGTGCTGTTACTTCCAGGCCTAGAGCGCTGTGCAAAGGTCTAGGCCACCACTAGTTTTGCTGATTTAGCAAGGTTGTGATGATAATTTATATTTATCTTTGTCTTTATTAAGATAGAACCAGAAAATACAGGAAACATGAACACAATTTTGGCTTCTCTAGTCCAAAGTCAGTCTGTGGTGTGACCTCCACAGCATGAATTCTTCTGGGGAAACAGTCTTGAAGACTTGAAACCATGACAGGGCCTCCACCATGTGTCACTGAATAGAAATAGAATGAATTTATGGTCAAGTATGTTACACACAAGGAATTTGTTTCCGGTACAGAACCGATGGCAGCCATCTGCGGCGCCAACTCAACCGATGGCTCTAACCATCGGGGGCAACCGGGGGGGTTCAGTGTCTTGCCCAAGGACACTTCAACACGTGGACTGCCACCACCAAGATACGAACCTCCAACCTTGTGGTTGGAAGACAACTGCTCTACCCACCGCACCATGGTTGCCATGAAAGCTGCTCAACTCACTCTTCCACCTCTTCCTCTCACATACTGTCGATGACTGGACCCAAACATTTCAAACTTCCATCCATCTCTCCAGTCCTCTACTCCTCTTTTCCACTGATCTTTGCTCCAGTCTCAGCCTTTTCTCCCTGTCCCTTTCTGAGGAAGTGGTCTCCTGGCTGCCATCTGTTCAAAGGCCGTTCCTGATCAGGCTTCTTCAGACTGTGGATGGACCAACCTGTCGTCCAGATGCAGCTGCCAGATGCTGAGCCACGTCCCTGCTGGGTTTCCTCTGCTCCCTCAAAGTAGAAACTCTGAGAAACTTCTCATCAGACTCTGACAGTTTTCTATATATAGTCATCATAACACTGTTAAAGCAACAAATCTAATGTTGACCTAAGACTTTTGCACAGTGCTGTACTTTCAGAGATCCATATTGCTTCTAATGTGTTTTGACAGCTGAAGGTCATAAATACTGTACATCGAATCAGCACATTGATGTGCATTTAGGCAGAAATAATAATAGAATGGCTCCATAGCAGAAATAGATTCTGACAGCTTTCTGCTGCGGTGGCAGAACAAGAAGAAAGCTGTAAGTTTGTCCTGATTTTAAAAACAAAAAGCTGCAGTAACAGACAGAAACCTACTGTAATGCCTGCTTTGATGTGGACTGCCAAACACTAGTAGAGGCACAAAATAGGTCTTACTTCACTGTTCCCATCTGTTAGTGACGGTTCAATGCTCCCATCTCAGTCGACAGCTCAGTAACTCCTTCAGATGGGGCGTGCATGTTTGTATTTTTAACATGATGTGGAACGTTTCATGCTCTTTATGAAGGCGCTGATGTGGTTAAACTCGACTCCCAGTAATAAGACCCTCAGAGACACTGTCATACAGCATTTTATTAACTTGATTACATATATGCCTAGCCTGTTAGCATAGCTTAGCTAATGTTAGCTTTCAGCTGGTGTGTGCAATATGTTTGTATTATCGGGTCCAGCTTTAGCTGACTGTGTCTCTGGTGCACAGGTGGCATTTCATCTGAAGCCGCAACTCTGGGCTTTACTCTGACCCCAGTGCAAACCAGCACGCCCCACATAATTACAACTGTTCCATTTGAAACCAGAGCTCAACAGCAGTGCCATTGCTGTAATTCAGTGCAATGTATTCCTATGTGGGGGTGACTGTGGTTCAGTGGGTAGAGCAGTCGTCTCCCGGTTGGAGGTTCAAATCTTGGTGCCTGTAGTTCACATGTCGAAGTGTCTTTGGGCAAGGCACTGAACCCCCAAGTTGGCCCCGATGGTTAGAGCCATCGGTTGAGTTGGCACCGCAAATGGCTGCCTCGGTTCTGTACCAGAAACAAATTCCTTGTTCGTAACATGCTTGGCTAATAAAGGTGCTTATTATTATGAGAACCATGTTGAAAGTCCTCAAAGTAAAATAAAATTTTATTCTTTTCTCTTCTGTTTGTCCAGACGTGGAAGAACACTCTGGATCGATACCCTGACACGTTGCTGGGCTCTTCAGAGAAAGAGTTCTTCTACAATGAAGACACGCAGGAATACTTCTTTGACAGAGACCCCGAAATGTTCCGGCACATTCTGAACTTTTACCGCACTGGGAAGCTGCACTACCCAAGACATGAGTGCATCCAGGCCTTTGACGAGGAGCTGGCCTTCTACGGCATTGTACCAGAGATCATCGGCGACTGCTGCATGGAGGTAAAGTTCCACTTTCTGCCCATTTAATAAGTTGTATGGTCTTGAATTTTCCAAATTACTGATGAGTACAAATAAGGACCTGTAGCATTTTGTTAGACAGTCACAGATAATCACTTGCATCCCCCGTGTCGTTCACTCCCTCCTCACTTTAGTAGGAACTCCACACTAATGCAAACAGGACTTCCACGAGTTGTTGGAAATAGTCCTTTGTGATTCAGCTGCATGTTGACACAACTGCATTGAATAAATTCTGCAGGTTTATCAGCTGCAGATCTCTGAAAGACCTTCTACTAGACCAGGTCTGGTGACTGGAGAGGCCACTGAAGGACACCGGACTGTTCATGAAAACAGTTTGAGGACTTTTGCTTAGTAACGTGGTGCATTATCCTGCTGGAAGTGGTAACGGTAAACTGTGGCCATAAAAGGATGCACACAGTCAGCAGCAATACTCAGACCTGCTGTGGCGTTCAGACTGTGATTGATTGGTATTAAGGGCCTAAAGTGTGCCAAGAAGCCATTCCCCACACCATTACACCACCATCATCAGCCCAGACTGCTGACACAAAAGAGGTTGGGTCCATGGATTCATGCTGTTGCGTCTCAGCAGAAATCCAGATTTACCAGCTCCAGTCCAGACTGTGATGTCTGTTCGTGGTGGACAGGAGTGTCCCCTAACGTGGTCTTCAGCTGCTGTAGCCCGACATGTTGTTCACTCTCAGCTGCTTGTCTACTCAGTTGTAAACACTGGTGCAGATAGTGAGGTCTTTGGATCAACCAGTCCCCTCTGACTTCTCTCATCATTGACACCTTTCTGTCAGTGGAACTGCAGCTTGCTGGAGGTTTTCTGCTTTTCACGGCATTCTCCAATCCAAGCTCTAGAAACAGCAGTGTATCAGAATCCCAGGAAATCAGCATCACACAGACACTCACACCACAGTCAGTCTCTGAGAGCAGGGTTTTCCCCATTCTGGTGTCTGACCTGTGTCTGCAGGACTCTATGCATGGACACACAGTACTTAAGTGGGTGTAGTGACCTTTGACCTTTGGTTTCTTCCCAATGCTTGTTTGCTATTCTGCGGCTGTACTCATTAAGACTCTCTGGAGAAGAGCATCATCTGCTAAACACCTAAACTGTAAAAATGTCGATGGATCTGTGGGGGTTACTAACCAGCACTGCTCTCAAACTCTATTATCAAACTCAAACTCATTAAGGCAGCGGTGATGATCCCCATGAAACACCAGCAGCTCCAGTGCAATCTGACTTGGCTCTTTATTGCTACTGATTCTGGCAGGCCCGTCTTCCTGAGAGCGATTCCTTCAACGAGTCATAGACAAGTCATATGTTCCCTGCTCACTCCCTGAACAACAAATCACCTTCACAGCTCTTTGTGTGGGCCATTTTATACCAGCCTTGTCTTTGGAGGCTTTTGTAGTTTTATAACGGGCCTGTCCACTGCCTTGCAAATGGGTAACTGTTCTTTGTTTCCTCTGATTTACCTCACAAACATTGATTCAGCTGTGAACTTTTAATTTCAAGAGTTCTCTTTATGCACTCGACCCCCCCAGTTTCCCAAGAGAAACGGTCCACATGAGTTTCATATTTGCTCCTCTAGTAATTTCACAGCTCTGGTTTTTCTGCTGCTTTTCGCAGGTGTTTTGACCAAGGTGTGCCCTGGCCTGCCAGCTTGGGTTTCAAGCTAACTCTACTGAGAGCGACATATAATTAACTGCCAGATCAGTTTATTAGTCACTGCGGTGATCGGTGGCTGTGGCCCAAGGCTAATTGACTCCCAGTCTCAGCTCAAAGGCTTGTTAATCACAAACAGGAAAAGTAGTTAACCTTAGCAGACCACAGCTAAAGCCAAACTGTTCATTCAAATGAGGCAGCGCCAAGTGAGTGGATATAAACTGGGCCGAGAAACTTCACTAGTACTGCAGTGACAGCCGGAGTTTTAGTTTGTTTGTTCAGAGGCAAAACAACAGCAGCTCACCGGGCCAGAAGCTAGCATGATGTGTCAACACAAATGGCCTGCTCATGTCCTCCAGGTCAGACAGCTGAGGTGAAGATGTTCTGACAGGCACTATGTCCACAAACCTCCTGTAGAACGGCTGCAATTACAGCAGCTGAATTAGCAGGAATCATGTTAAATTAAATAATGTGACTAATGCCCATGTGCTTAGATGAATGCTCCCTGAGCACAGTTATGTATTACTGTGACGTGTGTTTACTGGGTCATTCCATGAGGTGCACTGTGTGTGTATGTACATAGTGAGCAGTGCACAAATGTAAGATTGTTTTCCCCAAAACGGCTTTATTAATTATTAAAGAAAATAGAGCAGTGTATCTTTGGTCAGGCCAACTCACCGCTGGGATCAAAGCTGACCGATAGGAGTTCAGGTCTAAACATGAGAAGCCCTGCTGCACTGCCCCAACTCTCCAGGGAACTGTAGCATGTATATGTAGTATTAATATGTAGTAACAAGTCTGTTTGCCAACATGGCCCCGGTGTGGCCTCTTCAGCTGCAGTGTGTAGTCAGAGAGTTGTTGTTCGACTGAACCAAACTTGACCAAATCGTCCCTCACACCCCCATAACAGTCATTTCACATGAGGTGTAATAAATAGAACTCAATGGGCCATGCAGTTCTAATTTCACTGGAAGCAGCCGATATGTGTGTTATTGCACACAAACCTGTCCAGAGACCAGCAGCACCAATGAATGTGGTGTCCTCACCATGATGTGTGTGAACGCAGACCTCCCAGTGAGCCACACCGTTGCACTGGGGGGCAGGTTTCCTCCTCATGGATCATGTCTCTCAACAAACAGCTCCAAAGAGCCGTCACTCTGTGCACGCTCTAGTTGCACGCTCTAGTTGCACTGCTCCGCTGGCTCCTCACGCTGCACGGAACGACGTGTTGGAGCTGTTTGTTGAAGTTGACTCATCTGGTCTTACCCTCCTTTGCTTCCTCTCTCTGTGAAGGAATACCGAGATCGGAAAAAGGAGAACCAGGAGCGTCTGGCAGAGGACACGGAGGCCAATGAGTTGACAGATGCCCCCCTCCCTCCGCACAGCACTCCCAGGGAGCGTCTGTGGCGAGCTTTCGAAAACCCCCACACCTCCACCATGGCGCTGGTCTTCTACTATGTCACCGGCTTCTTCATCGCCGTCTCTGTCATCGCCAACGTGGTGGAGACAGTACCTTGCCGGCCACCCAAGGGCAGTGTCAAGGACCTTCCCTGTGGGCAGAAGTACGAGCTGGCCTTCTTCTGCATGGACACGGCCTGCGTGCTTATCTTCACCTTCGAGTACCTGATGCGTCTGTTCGCCGCACCCAGCCGTTGCAAGTTCATGCGCTCAGTGATGTCGGTGATCGACGTGGTGGCCATCATGCCCTACTATATCGGCCTGGTGATGCCTGAGAACGAGGACGTGAGCGGCGCCTTCGTCACCCTTCGAGTTTTCCGTGTCTTCCGGATCTTCAAGTTCTCGCGTCACTCGCAGGGTTTGAGGATTTTGGGCTACACACTGAAGAGCTGCGCCTCCGAGCTCGGCTTCCTGCTCTTCTCCCTCACCATGGCCATCATCATCTTCGCCACCGTCATGTTCTACGCCGAGAAGGGCACCAAGAGCTCCTCCTTCACCTCCATCCCGGCCTCCTTCTGGTACACCATCGTCACCATGACAACGCTCGGGTGAGTACATCACTGTAATGTTGTGTGTTGGCTGACTGCTGTGACTTCTGACACTAAACAGATTTTATTTTGCTACTGATGACTGTGGTGCTGTTAATGTCATCGCCATGGCGACGCCAGTGTGTTTGTGCTGTGAGCGTCTGGACACGGATCAGTCATTAAGGAGACATGTACTGTCTGTTCCCACTGTGAAGTGAGATGAAGTGTGAAGAACCAAAACCGCGTGTGTGTTCGCCACCCACTCGTTGCTTCTCGAGCACGGTGGTGTATCTTCACGCTGCCAGCGCCCACACACACTCACCCTGCAGCTCTCAGCACTGATCTGTTTTCTGCTGTTTGAAGGGCCTTTGGAAACATCAGAGAGAGAGAGCGAGTCAGGAATCTGCTTGTAAACCCTGACCGAACCATCATACTGCATTTTAACAGACACACATTCAGCGTCCCTTCCTATATGACTCTGTACTCCTACCTGTCTGTGAATGGAGACAGAGCAAACACATGAGAGTTCAAAAGGTGTGAATGGGAAAGTGTGAATGATTCAGACAGTAGAGTAGCAAAGCAACAGTGGTGTTAAACTGCACAGAGCTGTGAAACACTAATGCATTTGAGAGGTTGGTTTCTTTTACTCAAAGAAAAAATAGGGATTTTGTGTATTCAGTAAGTTGAGCGGCACAGCTGGGGGCCTGTTTGGCTGCATCCACGTCTCAGACCTCAGCGCTCAGCTCTGATCCCTGTGTGTCAGCTCTGGTGTGAACACCGCTCAGCTCCTAAACTGCCACACATGCACAGATGTAACTGAAATGTGAGCCACGTACGCACAAGAACAACAACCAGTTGGTGTGTGTGACAGTCAAATGGCCCAGTTTCTTCCCAAACCACTGGGTTACAATATGTTCCTCCCAGTTTGTCCTGATCAGAAGCTTCTCCATAAACGTCCACCACATGTGAAACGTCCTGGTCTCTCCACTGACCCCGTCACTGTCGTCGCTCTCCTCCATGTTTATTGTTACCGGTCGGTGAGGGGCCGATGCCGAAAGATGACGACAGACCGTATGTGCAGAGGAGGAGACGTTAAAACGACCACATGGATTCTGATCTGACCGTTCTGATGGCGCTCACACAGTCAGAGGTCAGAGAGGAATCGGGTCTAGGAGCACATACGCAGGTGGCCCAGACCTGGTCTGAGGACATCTGGTCTGTTCACACTGCTGTGGACACACCAGGTCTGAGGCGCTCCAGCTGGATGTGGAGGCAGACTTTGAGACCTTTTGGTTCAGTTGTTATGGACCAGAGAAGAACAGCTGTCCATTGGTGTCCTGTAGTTCTGGTCTTGATCTTGACTGTTATTAAACACTGTTTTGTATCTTAACATTTAGCAAGTAGCAGTGATTCTCTGTTTCTTCTCCCCTCCTCGATTCCTCTCCGTCTTCAGGTCCATTAGTTATCAGCAGGGAGAGGCCGGCCTCTAAATGGATTCTCCAGGCAGCAAAACACAAGCCAGGCTTTTACCTCCCCTCTCCTCCCCCTCCCCCTCCTCACCTCCCTCTGTTCTCACTTACTCTGTTTCCTCCTGGGGAGCATCCCTCCCTCTTCTAGCAGCAAAAGGAAGTTTTGCTTGAAGCTCACAATAGAAACAGCAACAGGACGATGGCATTAACTCACCAAAGAAAGCAGCACGTTATTTTGCCTTTACACAGGATTCGATCCGCCCGTCGTCCCTCACAGCATCTCAGACGTCGCTGATTGGATTTTCACATAATTTCAGTAAATGTTTCTTTAAATTATTGTGTTCTGGTAAAATGTTGATTTTGCTGATTGGATCTGCAGTGAACACGCAGATCCACGTCTTAGATGTTGTGTCCTTCATGGCCATTTAACCTGCTGAGGGTTGAACTTTGAATCACTACAACTTTACTGGAATCTCAGCAGCATCTATCATCATCGCACCCCATAAATAAACATTACTGATCTTTTTCTGTTTTATTTATTTAACCTTCACTGAATCAGGGAGTAAACGTCTTGAGCTTAGAGGAACCCTGCATATTTAGCACATATGACAACAGGATTCAGTCAGTGATGCCAAGTTTATTAATCTTTCCCATCTCTGCCGATACAGGTCCTGGGAGCTGTGATTAGAGGTGAGAAATGAGCTCTGTAAAATAAGTTTGCAGTAGCTTTATAAATACCAGTAAACTCAGAGGGAGAGAGAAATGAGTCCAGAGCACAGTGATGGTTCACGGTTTGTAACCAACAGAGTCCAGCCTGTGAAGACACTGTTCATCTGTGACATATGGCTGTAAACGAGAGCTGGTGAGAAGGCAGCAGCTGTTTCCTGGCTTCTAAAGAAACTCAACTAGTGCCTGAAATATAACTTAAGTCTTAACGTCTTCACAAGATTTTCAGTAGGACGAGCCGCAGTCTAACGGACTGTGTGCAGCTTGTTAACAAGTCCAGCACAGTGAGTCTTCAGGTACCATGTGGTCATGGGTTTGTGTGATGAGCCTGTTTGAAGGCCACATCCAACAAACTCCTGGACTTAATAGCTTTACCTGTCACACTACGGCAGCACATTTGAAATCTATTAAAGCTTCAAACACTGCTTCAGGATTTTAGGTGGAGATGTTCACCCAGTTGTGACCTACCATGAACCTGAAACCGGAGTTCCAGAGTTTAAATGAAGGTTTAGAGCATCACCATCAACTACCAGAAACCTTTATTGATTGAGTGTAAATGATTGTTTTCTCCATCTCCTTCACTTCCTTTCTTACTTCCTCCTCTTGTTCTTTCCTCAGCATCTCTTTCTGCTCTTTGTAGCTTCCTCCTCATCTGTGCTCTGATCTGTCTTTGTCATTGTTTTTCATCATGCTGCTTTTATTGCTTTGCTCCTGTTCATCACTGTGCTAATATACTGGAAGAGATAGTCTCATGAAGAAACAACACGGCTGGGGAAACGTGATCTGCTGTTACTGCTGCAAGGAAACATGCACAATGTTTGTGTCTGGACTTCTCGTGATCTCCTTTTCCTTCAGCTACTCTGATAGACTTGATATTTCTTTTAGTTTAGAATGAGCCTTTTGATTGATTGATTGATTTTATTCTTTCAAGCATGTAAAGACAGTTGATATATCAACACACATAATTTTACACATATCCAACAAATGCTAATCCAATATCAATTTGCTTATACCTAGTACATGCTTGAATGGAGTAGGAAGAAGTCAGACTTATCCAGTCCTACCCCATGAATACAGCAGACAAGAAGGATCTAATGGTACTTACTGATCTCTGGTCAGGTTCAGGTGATGAGCCCTTCTCTGCAATTCTTCTCCTGTAAGACAGAGTCCAGAATTATTTCTGAAAAACAGTTGCTATTTTTAAAAACATATCATCATGTTTAATGTTAATATCATAAAGCACAGACCACACAATTCCTCCTGAACTCCACATTTTTAAAACCTAAATTCCTTAGATTTCTCTAGATCTTACAGTGATACTTCTCTGTCAGCAACAAAGTGCATTTAAATTACGATTTTACTACATATCATCTCATAATACTGAGGACATTGGTGTGATCCCTGTACCCCATCTTATGCACAATTCTTATCGCTCTTTTTTGTAATATATACAATAGTTGAAGTGAGCTTTTGTATGTATTTCCCCAGTTTTCAACACCATACTCTAAGTATACCTGCTCCTTTTATATAGGAGCAGGTCCACTATCATTTACAGTAGCCCAGAAGGGACAAACCACACACTGGCTCTAGAGTGCGAATGTCACGTTTTCACTTGAAGAGCAGCTTAGATTTGGAAGATGAAGGAATAATGTTAGAAACAATCCAGAAACAAATGATGTTAGAAGGAAGCGTTGTCTTGAGTTTCAGAACTATAATTTGAAGAAATGTTAGGTTATAGTCAAAATTTAACACCAGATTAAGGAAAACAGGGTGAATCCCTGTTGTCAAATAAGGAAAGACATGAAGAAACGAGACAGGAGACAAACATTGCTGTGGCCTTCTCAGGATGGAAATCCTGGATGAGGGACAGATGTTTGCAGAATGACGCCGACATTGCCCGTTTTCTGCTGGACAGGTAATTTAGCCTAACAAGTCAAGTTAACCTGAATGCAAGTTTTTGTCAGATAGCTTTAGCTGGAACGTGGCCAGTGCTGAGGAACGTTAACCCACTGTGTTCAAGTGAGCCGCCGTTAGCTTTTGCTTGGTCAAGTCAGCTGCACTTGTTTTCTGAGTGCACAATTAGTTCTACATTTACGGTAATCGTGAGGGCTGTTTGCAAAGCGTAACCTCGCCGCTAGATGTGGCTAAATCTCACATACTCCACCTTTAACACACCAACAGCAGAAAAAAGTAGTGCCACTGTTGGATTAACCTCTCTGGTTCTCCAGGGAGTAAGTCACTGCTGCTGATTGAGTGGTTGAGTCTAATTAGAGCCAGTTTATTAGAACTGGGCCTCAAGTTTTTTATTTGAATGATATTCGGTCCTGGGTCAAATCTCTGGTAATGAAAGTGAAGATTGTTTCTGTTTGTCAAAGTAATGTGGTTTCTGGTTTGCTTAAACTCATGAGATCTGCTAAGCTTAACCTTTTACCAGCTTAACCTTTACCAGCACAAGACGCTGTAGTGAAATATAGGCAGGAGAAGAGGAAACTTGTACCAGGTGACCAAACTGCACAGTATATGGAAAACACCCGAACATCCTTTTCAGTGAAGTGCCCACAGTTCAGTTGCTCTCAACTCTGTATTCAGCTAATGGATTTTCAAGGATACACATCATGAGCATCTGTCATTTCACTAGGCAGTGTTTACTCTACACAGCAGCTGCCTCTAATTCACGCTACACAGCTGGTGCCAACACTGCACATGCACTGGTGTTTCTGGTGTTTCCCTGACTCCTCCCACAGGGTCGGGGTCGCTCTCGGTGTCAGAGGGACAATGTAAGAGTTCACTGTTTGTATGGCCTCTTAATGCAAACAACCCAAGACA